ACGCATCGCACGTTATCCTGCGCGAACGAGTTCGCGTCGTTCTTGATAAAGAGCCTCGCGTTCACAAAAGAATCATTGGCGAGACGATCAAAGAACAGAAGAACGGCGTAAATTCCCAAAACACTGAGCTTCTCGATTGTCCTTATTTCGACATACTTGAAAAGCCAGCCAACCGACAATAAACAATCTTGCTCCCCCACCTATTGTATTGCCCTTCACGGTTTAAATCTGGCTTGCCAGTCTCGTTCAATACGTCATTAGAGGAAGACCAAGCAAACTCTGACAGCTGTTCTCGTGGAGACGTTAACCTTCCAAATATGTGCTTTATATAAAATTCATAGTGTCCACTATTAGTAAGTTTTTACACTTTTATTTTCATAAGTTTCGTTTTCTTTACTTAATTCTATATCACTGACTTCCAAATTAAGTTTTATTGGCTCCCTTTTTGTACCCAAATGATTTATTTTACAAAGCATTCGATACCCTGTCTCCTCAGCTTGGCGGTTCTATGGTGGCGTATGTACACGGAGAGAATTTTCTTTTAAAATTTATCCCGAAAATCACATGTAATCGTGGGACAACATGGGCACTTTGAAAAACTTTGTGAGAGTTTTCTGAAATTTTACCATACAGTTCACGGATAACACGTATACTAAGTGTAATTACTAGTGAAATGTATGATAAAATTTTAAAAAACTCTCATAAAGTTGTTCAAAATGCCACGTTGTCCCACGATTTTTGAGGTGAATTTTAAGATAAAATTCTCTTCGTGTAAATACACTACCGCTCAAAAGTATTTTCCCACCTCGGTAAATTGTGTTTAAGTGACTATATATAAATAAATAAAAACCACTTATTGATATTAATCTATATAGTTTTCTCTTAAATTAAGGGTGGACAAATACTTTTGAGCGGTAGTGTATCTCTTTTAGCAAAGGGGTTGAAAGAGGCGAGAGGGAACGAGCTCATCGTCTTGCCCTCCGCGTTTCTACAGGATATCGTCGCGATGAGAAAATGCGTCCGGGTTACGGAGACGCTGATAGGATACTTTTATTGAACGGGGAATATGACGGTCCGGCAATATCCCGCGTTCCGTCCATTTCTTTAACCCGTTGACGAGCATTATGAGTCTCACCACCGTAGCTACCTCCGTCGTTTCATCTGACAATATCGAATACATCGACCGTTGCCACTCAAGCCTTTGTGACGAAAGAACGATGATTAAAGGGCTCTGTACGAGCTGCTGATCACGTAGACTTTTGTCGCAGGGACGATTACTTTACGGCACGATTGGAATTATCGATTTTTGTCTTAAGTGCAATAGCAAACGTAGAGCGTGAGAACGTTGACTCAAGATATAAACAGACAGACAATGCACTCTCTTCGCGTGCGCGCGCGAGAGATCTCTCGAGAGAATTTTCGCGACGTCTTCCCGGTCCGGTCGGATGCCGTGAAGAGACTTTACTTAATACTCGCCAACATCCGTAAGAGAGACGATCAACAATGCCGTGAGCCAGTACGGACGGGGCGACGCGGCGACGAGGCATTGAAAATGCGGGGAATGTCGCGGTGTGTTTCGTCTGTCCGACGAGATTTCTCGGTCGCGATGTTTAACCGAGATAACCGGAGATAAAGAGGAGGAATCGCCGCGCTCTGCATTTTCTCACGAAAAGATCCCCGGCGTCTAGGCGCGCATCCCTCACGTATTTCACGGGCCCCGGGGGCGTTTGCGGAATTCTTGTTTGCGACGGGGTGCAGGGAGGAGGAGGGGGAGGGGAGGGGGGGGAGGAGAAAGGGGGCGGAGAAGGCGAAATTCGCGCAAGAGAGGAGTCGTCGAAGACTCGTCGACCTCTTCTTCGCTTCTTCGCGCGCGGGATGGCGCAAAAGTTGGGAATACAGCCCGGAGGTGGCGAGTAACGGCAGCGACGGAGATGATTGATAGCAAAGAACGCGCGGCGCGCCTCGCACGCCACAATGGGGACCAGAAATATGAGATCGGAATAAAATTCATAGCCGTTGCCAGGGGAGACGTTAGGCCGCGATTGAGATGCAAATAAGAGCGAGACACCCGGTAGCGGCGGCGACGGCGACGACTTCGTGGCAGCTCCGTAACTCGTTCGTACCGGGGACGACGACGTCGACAGGCGTTTGCGGAAGAGAATTTTTTATGAGCTCGAGAAGTCGCTATCTGTGCCGAAGTTTTCGGTGGCTTTAGAAATTTTTTCGCCGGTGGGTCGGACGCCCGACAACGATCTCCATTCGTATCTCGAATCAACTGTTTGTTCGAAAGCGGCGTAAAGAATATATTTCGGGAAAGTAGGCTACGCGAGATTGCATAGAGATCAATAACGATGAAATCTATTTTAACTTTTAACCGACATTCTCACAATTCCCCTCGTTCTTCTCTTATTTCGATTGCACGAAAGCGCGCGCGCGCGCGCGCGACTATTGTTATTTTGATAATTATTTCTCGCTCTAATTTAATCGAATAATTTCGCGCGTAATAACACGGTGGCCCGAGCTTGCAATTAACGCGCGGTTAACGAAGCGCGTCCCGTTAATCGTTGCTAGAAAATTTTCAAAACCAGAATTTCCACGAGAATAAAATTGCTCCGGGCTATGCCGCGGTAACTTTCATCTTACGTACAATATGTACCCGTCGTCATAATGTACACAGGTAGCATCTTCCGCCATTAATCGTAGCACGATCTTCTTTTCTTCTTCGTCTTCTTCTTCCTCGTGTATTAGGCTTGAAGCCTGTTTTATCCAGTTCGTTCTGGTACTTTGAGCATTTTGATTTTACTTCATCTTCGGTAAGCTGCTAACCTTGCCGCAGGAAACCTCCAACCTGAAGGTTAGATCCCTAAAGGGGTATGCGTGGCAAGATATTCTCGGTCATGGTGTAAAGATACAAGGTGAAACATTGCGCATATAACAAATTTTTGGGGCAAATTGCCCATTGGTTCTTCCTGCATTCAGCCGCAATGATTTGCAGTTTGAAGGCTGTGGCAAATTTCCGATTGGTCAATCCGGTGGTTTGGGCCACTTCGGATAGGTTGACACTGCGCATCCACCAGATTGCTTCACCTTGTATCTTTACACTATGCTCTCGGTGGTTGCCGCTTCCCTCCGAAAAGTGACGTCCGAAAAAACCAGCGGTGTCCGTGGCTGGATTTGAGCTCGGGTCTTTTCGCTCATTTATTCACTAAGCAGCGCGCATTTCTCTGCGCCGCGATCTTTTCTTCTTTCAGTGAAATTTAACAGCGCACGGGTATCATCGGCCCGAAGGGCTGTTAAAGGTATTATTCGATCCGCGTGGAAACACAGCCTGCGCCCGATGAGTGTGAGTATCGTTTCGCTCTGAATATTCGTAATTCCGTTAACCGTTTGTTATCCAATTATGCGTGATCGTTTTCCACCGAGATCGCCATTATTCCGATCGCCCCGGATCGCGCATAAGCGATTCACGAGGACGCTTTGGCGGCGCGCGGCCTCGACCGAAACGGGATCGCGCGGCTTTGTTTCCGCAAAGCGGATCAAACGCACCCACGGTTTTTCCTCCCTTACGTATCGCGTTATCGCGACTGCCACCTAACGGGACGGTGATTCGCGGCTGTTTTTCCGATGATTACGCGCGCGTTCCATGGAAATCGATCGCGAGTGACTCATGAAAGAGCGCGCGGAAAGGGGGACCTGGCATGCGCGTGCCCTTTCCTGGTCTCATTATCGCGATTGTGTCGAGGCGATTGTGTCCGCGGAGCGAATTAAATGCAACGAAAGAGCCGCGGGACTGTCGCTGCCATTACGGTATAGACCGAACGCTGTATAAGGCACGGTGTTGCCTGCCGCGACTGCATCGTCTGCTCGTTCCTTATTGATCGCTCGCACCAGGGCTCTAAGCGCCATAAGAAACTACATAAATTAATCACGAGACGAGAGAGAGAGACTTGCCTTGGGCTCTTAAACGGATCACGTCACTCCTGGCGGTATTAGAAATTAAGGATAATTAGGAGAATCAAGATAGAATGTCGACGCGCGCACGATTCGTCGCCGCCATCGTTTTCTCTCCGTTGAAGACTTATTTATTTTTTCTATTTAGCGGGACGAGCATCTCCCCCTGAATGATTACATCATTTCAGGGTGGAGAAGGGGAGGGGGCAGACTACACGTAAGAAATATATAAGTTAATTAAAGCGAGCGAGAAGAGAGAGCAGCTGGCGAACTCGAAGCCCGTAACGTCGATGCGCCGGTTAACAAGTAAACGATAGAAAAAGAAATTGCCACATAAAGCTTTCTATCAGGCTCCGGCAGATCAATCCTACGGGATGTACGGACGTGTGAGGAAATAAAATATTTCAAGATTTTATATTTTTACGAATACCGTTCGTAAAAATATAAAATGCGAGAGTGGTATAACAATATAAAATGGGAGGGAAAAGTCCGCGTTGCTGAAAAGAAAATTAAGCGATATATTGTTCGGGCAGCGCTGTGAAATAAATTATACCGAATACCCGGTCCAGATTCAGAAATAATTTATTTGCGACTTATTTTTATATTTTTGCTATTTGTATGAACGACTGGAATTGCCATTTCTCTTCAAACTTTATAGAACTTTGACTTAAAAATGCTTACATATATTATTCACCATTGCTTTATTAACATTTCAATTTAGAAAGAGCGAAAACGCACCACACGCGTATTAATATAATAATAATCCATTTTAAGCGAGAATCTCTATCGTCAAGCTTGCACTTATAAAATTTACTGCTACTTGCGCGTTGTTCTATTCTCAAGATTTCTCTTAAGAGCGACTTAGATGACCGCGATGTGAACAGTGTAACTAATAAGATCGGGAATAAAGCAATAAATTAGCGCGTAAATTGGAGTAAATAGAACTTGATGGACGACGGTTTCCGAAGAATTCCAGCTCGATATAGACACAAGAATATAGACGCATGTTGCAACCTAGACATCTGATATCTGTCGTTTTCTCGTTTCAGATTCGATTGATAAGCGGCCACATGGTGAAGCAGAGGAGGTTTATCGGGAATACCGACAACAAAATGATCAATATACGAGAACGTTTGCGGATGTCTTAAGAGGATAATTTAATTCGCACGCCGTCCGATTGTATGAAACGTTGTTCCTCGTGAGTCGAGGCACGCAGGGTTGTAAGAAGAGTAAAGGTTCGTCTACAAAAGATAGATGAAGTAAGCCTGGCATAAGAAGTAAGAGTAGGAGCAAAGAAATGAATCATTTCCATTTCTTACTCCTACTTCAGCTCTGACGCTTACTCTCGGCGAATTAGAGCGCAGTTTGACCAGCGCTACAAATATATAAAAAAAATACTTGTACTTTAGCTTTTACACTGAAAGGTAAAAGTTGGATTCTCTTATTTCTTACTGCTTACTGCTTCCAATGTAGACGGTCCTTTACGGATTCGTCAATCGAGTCGCGAAACATATCGGCAGGTCTTCGCGAGCTGGTTCTAAATCCGTCGCACGGATCTAGAAGTGATCGCACTTGTGATTCGATTTCCTTTCTCGCGTTTTATCCGGATTTGGGGATTTTTTAAAGAGATTTTTCACTTTCATACCACGGTGAGTGGAGCGCGATATCGATACTATTTGTTTGTTTATTTCCCTCTTATTTGAAAGTACAGCGTAATGAAATCGAACGAGACCGTTGAAACGTACGCGAGAGCTGCGAGCTCTGCACATCAGAACGGCCGTAGAAAGTTTCCGGATATGTGTAGAACGGATATGTGTAGAATGGAGAGGAGAATATTTTTCGATTGCGTACGGTCCGCGCGTACCGAATTACCATGCTGCGTGGAACGTAATTGCGAATTCGCGGTGAAAGCTGTTTCGGAGCAATAATAGTCGTGATATACAATAAACACGGTAGCTGTATCCGGTACTCTAAAAGCTTTACAACAAGAGGAGCAAGAAGAATAGATTTAATACTCGAAACATAATAGTGTTTTCAAATTTTTTTAAACAGAAATAATAGATAAATGTTACGCATAAACGTAGCTATATAAAAATTGTGAAAAGTATAAAAATCTGCACCGTCTGTTCGCGAAAGAAACACGTTGAACGTTCGACGAACTCGCTTATTTGAAATTACGAGAAATACTTAGAGTACGGAATTTCTGACGCATGCATGGGGAATTTTAACGGATGTCCAATAATAGGAATTGTTTTAAAATGACGTTATCGGCGGGCCAGTTTAGTCCGCAATGCGAGAAACGCGAAATTGTAAGGCAATTCGTTACGGTGGTATTGTCACGAAGTAACGAGACATTTGCAGTGATCCTCGACAATTGAACGGGAAATCACTTGATCGTTTAAAAACAACTTGATCGAACTTAACGTGTAGCCAATATAACGATCATTTGTCGGCGTATCGCGCGCGTTTCTCAAGCAGGCTGTCGGACAATCGTCGGGGCAAAAATCGATTATTCAGAACAGTCCTTCCCTCGCGAATGTCGCGGGGAAACGAACGGCATAATTTCATCGACCTCGTTCTTTCAGATTTTAGACGCTGCTGTTTATTTTACGGAGGAGGAGAAGCGTAAGCCAAAGTATAATCGGGAGTATTATCCGCGGTATTCATTACGCTCGTGACTCTCGCGGTATTGATACGAAGGGAATTAAACAGATTTGCATACCGCAATTGAGGGAACGCGTGATTGAGCTCCGCGGTGAAAAACGGACGATGCTTTAATCAGCGAAGCCCAACCGAATTTCCGAGCCTCATGCGCCACGCCGGGCGGAGTTTCGTCATAATGGTGAGTAATATCTGTGCACTTAATAAATTAATTTACGCCTCCCTGCGTGCGAAAATATAAAATCTCATTCATTACGCTCGCCATTAAATCGTCGCTCGCTGCACGTAACTCGATATACATGAATGCCGACCATATTGGTGCGCGTAACCCAAAGAGCCAAGTTGTGTAAGCTCATAGACTCATACAAATAGACTGCGCGTTCCGTGAGAAGAATTGAAGACTACATTAAAGTGAGAGGGAGAGGGAGAGAGAGAGAGCCAGAGTGTGTGTTTGTTCAATATGCGTTGTTTCTCCACTTTTAACAAAGAGCGACAGAGAAGCGTCCATAGACATAATGTATCCAGACCGAGCATTGAGCAGTGGTAGTAGAGGTTCACGTAGAAAATGACAAAATCTGTTTTGTGCACCTCTAACCCCACTGCTCAAATAAAGGCAAACGCTCGGTCTAGATACATTATGTCTATGGATACGTCACTCGCGCAATGTCTCTATCCTTCAGTGTAGTCTTCAGTGGAGACCCTGAAATCAGCGACCGGCCATAAGAGTTCGTCAAGTTCCCGCGAGTGAGAGAGAAACATAGGCTGTCTCACTCTTCTACGATCGTAACGATCATGGCAGAGTGAGATAGCCTATGTTTCTCTCTCACTCGCGGGAATTCGACGAACTCTTGTGGCCAGTCTCTGATTACAGGGTCTCTAGTCTTCAGCATAGTATAACTAGTAGTCCTCTCCGTCATTTGTTTCGTTTCGCGTCGATCCCTTCTGCGCGTCCGACATTGCTCTGGGCAGACCAATAAGAGAAAAGTTGTGTGTGCGGTAGTGTGGCTTTGATGAGTACGTGTACGCGCACACGTCGCTGGATCCTGCCCGGGCGTATGGCGGAATACCACGTGATCGGGACCGCAAAGGTCAAAGGGGCGGGCCGAGAGTGGACCTACTAGTTATGCTATAGTCTTCCAGCGCGCCCATAAAGCCGGTACCAGACTACGGATTAAGGTTGGGATTAGATCGAAATTTGACCAACCACAGGAAAGTTTACTAATCTCAAGTTTAGTAACTTTTACTCTAATTGGTCAATTTTCAATCTAATCTCAATCTCAATCTATAGTCTGATACGGGCTTAAGGACGTAGTCTACAGCCAACGGCACACGACACTATTTTTCGTACTGGATTGTTACGAGAGCCAATCAGGATTTGGCCTTAAGTCACCTGATCTAAAGCTCTGCGTTTTCATTGGTTCTCCTACGCGACAGTATCGTGTGCTGTTGGTTTAAGTCTATGTGTAAGTCACACACGATATGTATCATATATTGCGTAAGCTCGGCGAGTGATAACTCGCCAAGTCGATAACCTTCGTCACGGTCGACCGTCTTGCCGAATCTGCCCGGCCGCTCGAGCCCGAATTGTCGAACGGACGGAAACGCCCGGCTCGCTCCCGATTGCCCAGAAGATTTACACCCCTCGCGCGCCCCTACATATTACCGGGTGCGGAATTGTATTGTCATCCATGCAAATTCTGGGAAGCCAGCGGGGGATTACGCTCGCCGAGTTCCTCCCATTAATCAACGTTTCCTGTTGCACTTAGGAGATCAGCTCGCGTGCCGCGCCGCCGCCTCGAATCCGCGGTCCAATTTATTTCTCGCGTTTTCGGACACGTGGAAACGTCCGCGACTTCCCGGCGAGAAATAGAGTCTACGTTTTTCTCTCCGCTCCGTTGAGCGACCCGAGCAGCGCAGGTCGACGCACGATATTGTAATCTGAACGTTCCACGCGCGACGCTATCGTTTGCATATGTATCGCGGGATGATCTCGCGCGACCGACATTGAAAATTAGCATGTAAGATCGGCCCTGTTATGCAGATCGACGCGCGCTCGACGCAACAGGCGCGCCCTCGCCAAGAGAATGCGAGAGAGCGTTCTCCGGTTCGTATCGCAGATCGAAGGTATCTCGGAAGATCCGGCGGGCTCGTCGACTCTCGTAATGACAATCAAACATGAGGCGCGGTATCCGCACACGAGAAGGGGTAACGGAAACTCCCCGTCCGACCCGGGTTTCGGATTGCGTTACGTATCAGGCCGGAGAGATAATGTTCCATAATTGCGCGTCTCGCAAATACCTTCTCGGGTAAGTACCGCTCGTACCGCAATTAAAACGGTGTCGCGTTTCGTTGCCATGTGATAAGCGGCGGCGGCGGCGGCGGTAATGGTTATGAAAAACGGCGGATCGAGTGAATGAACGTTCCCCTCCCTAACGAAAATTAATGCGTGCGAGAGAGCACCGGGCATTTAAGCGGCGCTTTTAGCGGCCGCTCCATCACCGCGCGGAATATTGAATAGTTCCGCGGAGAGCGACGTGCTATCTTTATCAAACCGCCGCCGTACCTTTCTTAGAACACTCGCGTTCTCTTCCCCTCCTCCCCCTCCCAAGCGCGAATCAATCTCAATTGTCCGTTTGATGTAATTATCGGCTCGATTGATCGCGATTGCGTTTCGATGTCGGCGCGCAAAGAAACGCGGCGAGCGTTCGCGCGTGAATCCGCTTCGGGATTAACGCGACGGGAAACAAAGGGCGGATAACGCGCTCTCGATCGCCGCGCAAGTCTCTCTTTTCCGCGGCCGTCGAGGCGCGATAGAAGAATTCGCGGTTTGGACTTTCATGCGGCCGACCCACCGGTTAATCAGAGCCGGAAAGGTACACTGACAAAAAAATTTTTTTAACTAAGTACAACAGATTTATTTAAAATTATGTTTTTTACTGAAATAATATTTGTTCTATTTACTCGTACTAAAATATTTGCTAGATTTGAAGAAATAGATACAAATTCTCTTAAAAAATTTAGTCTCAATCGAATGAAATTTTCGTTGAGGCAAAGAAATCATTTCTTTGAAATTAAATAAGAGTCCAGTACGGTCAAAAATTCACACAAATTTGTTTCATTTCAAGCAAACTGTTTTCTAGGTGTGGTACATCTTTCTCTGACTCTCGTGACGTACGTCCACTATACCCGGGAAAAAGTTTGTTTGAAATGAAACAGATTTTTTTCGACCTTGCTAGACTTGCATTTAATTCCAAAGAAATGATTTCTTTACTTTAATCAAAATTACCTTAATCAAAAGTCAGTCATGTTCTGCCTTTCGTGAAATCAAGAACTGTTCCTTCGATTTGCCACACTGAACTTAAAGACACAATTATCACATGAAAGGACCACAAACCATGGTCGAAACGTTGTTTAAACATAAAAATTTGCCAGACATGGTCAAGTAATCATTGAAGTTTCTCAATTAAAATTCTCGCAAATTTATACTATCCTTTCCCCACTCTCTAAAAATCAATCAGTAGATTATCACTGAAAACGGTGAATAGTCACTGACTCAGTTATAAGTATACCACTGAAAATCGCAGTGGTATACTTACAATTGTAAATCAGTGACTATTCACTGTTTTCAGTGATAATCCACTGATTTACAATTATAAGTACACCACTGAAAATCGCAGTGGTATACTTACAACTATAAATCAGTGACTTATATTCACTGTTTTCAGTGATAATCCACTGATTGACTTTTAGAGAGCACTGTCTCATAAGCAGTTTATGGTTAATATGTCTGTGGCCAGAGCGACCGCGGGATTCCGCCGTGAGCTCCACGACTTGGCGTCTTATCTCTGCCGCTAGAAGCGACGGATGCGCGTTCGCCACTAATGCCCCGGCGCCAGCAATTAATCGACTTTCATTATTTTCGCCGATTGCAACTCAAATTATCACGGGAAACTTCGTCCCTGCGCGCTCTTCTTGTCACGAACGGAAGCACCGGCGCGGATATTCTGGCACGGACCGCGAGAGCCTTGTTTCGCGGATAGGAGAGCGCGCGATGTCGCGGATACGAAGAAAAGTTCACTCCGCGCGCAGCTCGTTCTCGCGGATTCGCGTAGACCCAGATTGGAAGCTCGCTCGCTATCTAATTAAGCAGAATTATTAATCGCAATTATTAAACGCGAACCTGCGAAATAACAATTAACACGCTCCGGAGAGCAAACGGTAAATTACCAGGTCGTTGCCAGCGTAATTGGCGCCGATGGAATTGCAAAAAACGCCCGTGCAAAAACCTCCTCCTTTGTTATTGTTCTTGAGATTACGCGACGTGTGAGGGACGCTTGATTAAAAATTATCGCGCGCGCCGCGTCATCGGGGAGATAAGGGAGAAACGAGCGATACGCGTGTGCAGGTGACACGAGGCGCGCGGGTACGAAGAAAAGAAGCTATACTTGGCCGAGGTACACTGACCATGATTAAGCGGTCGAGCGCGAGGCCGACCTTGCGCCGTAACGACGCGGCGCTAATAACGAGCGTACGAGCGCACGCGGCGGTCAGTAGCGCGCGACTCCTTTTTCCTTTTCCCCACGGCGGCGTTTTTTACCAGTGCGGGAAGGTGTTAGGGGGACGACGGGAACGCAACCCCCTTTCTCCATCTCCCGCTCTTTCGCGGAGAGAGAGAGAGAGAGAGAGAGAGAGAGAGCGCAAATGAGCCCGTCGCGCCTCTCCTCTTCCCCCGAACTGGCCGGGGGTTTAAACGCGACCACGTGGAAAGCTCACGTGCGTCAGCGGTTTTCCGTATCTCTGGCCCTGATTCTGTGTTTTCCGCCGCGCTCGATTAAGCGCCCGCGTTTCCCGTTCGGAGCAACCGCGGCAGAATAATTAGCGGTAAAACCGGGCACGGGAACTGTAGGGGGGAAGGGGGGGGGCAGGATCGCGGTGTGTCTCGTTTACCGGGGCGTTCCACATAGAGGCGATAAAGCGAGCTTTATCGACGGTTCGGCGAAGAGAATATTTTGGTTTTCGTTCGGCTGTATGTTTAGCCGCGACTCTCTGAATGAGATTGCAACGTAGCGGCCGGACATCGACTGTCGCGATACTAGTAGGAGACTATCGTGGAGATAAATCGGCGCTGATAAAGCGGCGGGGCTCTTTATCGTTGGCGATACGCGAGAAGAATACGTTGGA